CTCCTCGTTATCGATCTTACAGACTTTTTCAGCCATTATCCATTCCAGAACAACTATAGTCTTCTATTTCTATGGATTTCATCACAAATCTTCCAATCTCAAGTTTTTATGACTCTATATTGGTGATAGTAGATTTTTTTACCAAAATGGCACATTTTATACCATGTATAAAATCTATCACACATGAAGAATTAGCTAAGCTTTTTTTTAACAATATCTATCACTATCATGGATTATCCAAGGATATTATATTAGATAAAAGAACTCAGTTTGTATCAAGTTTTTTGTTGATTCTTTTCAAGATTCTAAAAGTGGATATAAAACTATCTTTGACATTCTATTTTCAAACTGATGGACAAACAAAGCGTATTAATCAAGTTTTGAAGCAGTATTTAAGATGTACCATCAACTACCAACAAGATGATTGGACAACTATTTTGCCATTGGCAGAATTTGCTTATAATAATATAGTACATTCTTCTATAAAACAAACACCTTTCTTTGCCAATTATGGTTATCATTCATGACTTGATACTTTTGACTTTTGTAGAATAGATATTAATTCGTTTCTGAAAGATATTGGTAAAATATATTAATAATCCATATAATAGGAAATTCAGGAAGACAGATGAGTGATTTAGTTATTAAAAGCGATAAATTACAGAATATATTACAGAATTACGGTTGAAATCTAGAGAATCAAGGAAAAGTATATAGGAGTTGTAGAAGTTAATTAAGGTGCCATTGTTGTTATAGTGTGAGCTGGAGTAAGCTTGGTGCTACCTCTTTTCTTTTGTTTGTTATTTTTTTTGAATAAGAGGATTGAAAGTTTCTGAATATTATGAAGTGAATTATGGAATGGAAATGTGATTGGTATTATTTGAGAAGAAGAAAGATTGAATGTTGAAATCTGATTGTAGTTCAAGAGAGAGAATGAGTTTGTGTTTGTGTAAAACACTGTAATGTGAATGGCAGTTCTGTGTGAAGAATTCCAGTGATTGGAATAAGGATAATTGTGTGCTGAAAGCTGTGAGGGTGCAGTATTACAGTTGGAGATTATAAGGGTGAATATATTGGTGGAAATAGCAGTTATTGGTATGACTGAATTGCTGTAAGGAAGAGACCGATAAGGTGAAGGAAGAGATTATAGTTTCCTTGTGTGTTCAGATATTGGAAATAGAGATGATACATTCAAGAGGTAATTGATTGTGTGACCCTAATGTGAACGCTTAAGCAAATAGTCATTTTTCATGTTCGAATCCCTCTATACGAGTTTATTTCCATTAGATTAATTTGGAATAAGTAAAATGAGCAATCACATTTGTGTAGAAATAGAAAATGGATCAAACCTTCACTAGTCCAACTTGTCCTTGTGACAAGTTGGACTAGTGAAGGTTTGATCCATTTTCTA